ACATGCTTAAATTTAAGCATGTATTTAAGCCTTTGCTGTATTAAGGTGTAATTGTGGTGTTTTTTCCCCCTAAATGACTATCTAAAAAAAGAATTGACAATGACTGAGCTCATAAATTGTATATCTTTTGATTACTGAATTATCAGGGTATTTATTTAGTGGAGTTGCTATAATCACCATTAGTGCACTGTGGAATTGATAATGAGAGTTATTGGTTATTTTTTTCTTTTAATTGTTTATGTGTCTAGAAGAAATTTTCTGTAAGCAGCCCTGGAAAGAGTTGCTGATTCATCCTTAATTAACCATTAATTGGTTAACTGGATGTTACATCAATACTGCCACATTTGGGATGGGCAAACATCACGGATTTAAATTCGGGATTGATTTAGATAAGCATCCACAATTTCAGATGTTTCCCTCCCAGGTCTACAAACTGAGCTGGAAATCTTGTGAGAACAAGCTTTCTCCCCAAATATCTGGCACTTCTGCCTCTAGTTGTGGCTGGATATACTGCAAGAAGAGCATTGCTTGGAGGGCACACAATCCATGGTTCTAGCAGTGCTCAAGGCAGATCTCAAGCAGAACAATGTCAATATGTGGCTTTCTTCAGGCACCGTTAGGAAGGATAATGAATCCATGGTCCAGTCAGTGGGTCCTAAAAGCAAACCAGCAGGTTTCCTATGGATGCTACCAAATCTACTACAAAATTTGCAAACAGGCAGAGAACCTCAGCTTTGGGAATTCAGTTCCCGAAAACAAAAAATATGGTAACTAGAGAACTGTAAAGTTTATTTTGGCTGTATGCAGTCTAACACTGCTTAATAAAAAAAATCTGTTTCTTTGGGGCTGAAGCCCTAAAGAGCTGGAATAAGCTAACTCTTTCCTAAAAATAGGCACCAATAATGTCCAATTTTAAAAAAAAACTCTTGATTTCTCCTTACATTAAAAAAATCTTCTAAGCATCAAAAGGCCTGAGATTGTTCCTCCCCTCACTGCATCAGAAAGGCATTAGCAGATCTGGATGCTTTTTTAGGGGACCGTTAAACTCAAACGTAATCAATACATCAAACTAGCAGAGAGGAAATATCACAATTAAAATCTGATACTTAATTCATCTGAGGGACTATATTTCCTGTTTATGAATTTGATAATTTAGTAGTTACTAATTTATCTAATTACTCTGATCCTAAATTCAAATAATAACTAATAAATTACATTTATTGAGTGCCTTTTAAGTGAAAACTGAGCTTCCTGCCATGATAAAAATTAGGAAGGGTATAGAAACTGTAACAATCTTGTGTCCCTTAGAGACTGAAACTGTCCCCTGTACTTTCATCAGTACCCAAAATAAATAAATACAAAAAATAAAAAAATAAAAAAAAAAATCTATATTTATATGCTTTATAGGCCAAGCCCGTCTGGATGGTGCAATCTGCTTATATGCTGAAGAAGAGAAATTGCAGTATTTGAAGGCAGCTTATGATGCTGGAGTCCGAAACATTGAGATGGAATCTTCAGTTTTTGCTGCTATTTGTAATCTTAGTGGTGTCAGAGGTAATTGGATACATGGCATTTTATTTAGACTGAATCATCTGTGTTGCAGAAAATGTACAGTGTACAGAGTTTCAAAGCATTAAATTCATAGCAGTGGAAAGTTACAATACTACACTATTTGCATATATAATTATAAATATTTATAGATGCTGTTAAGTTTATTTTAGTATGATTTGCTAGAACTTTGTAGTGTGTGTGTGCCAGGTCTATGTAAATCCCCTCACACAGCTCTGATCTAGTTTAGTCCTGATTAGTAGCTATTCCAGCTCTTGCCTTGCATTGAGAAGCAATCATTCAAGTACCAACCTATCTGAAGGCACTATTGTAACGGTCTTAAAGTCAGATAGGAAACTGCAGTAACTTTAATCAGTCAGGTAGCCTCTATGTATATGAAACTATAGTCACTTTCTTTACTTGCATATCAAAATGAAATATCAAGAGAGAAAGAGTAACGAGATTTGCATTTGCAATTCTGAAACAATTAAGAAGGGTTTTTAGTTGCCTGGTGAATAATGCGGTTCCCAATAAAAAAGTATGGACTCTTGTGAATTTTAGTTATGAGGTAGTTAAAGTTTAGGTAGGTGACCTAAGAAAAGTTGATCTAGTACAACTTTAGAGTACTCATTTTAAGTTACTCTCCCATTTGCTATGTCCGTGTTCTAAGGTCACAAAGTCTTCCTTTTCTAATTGGTCTGAGATATGAGAGCATTACTTGTGAGGAATTCATTACCTCTTTCTCCCATTTTTTTTTCTCTCCTCGGGAAGCCCACACTGCACCTACTCTCCTCATCATTATTGTTACCCACAGTAGTTTGATTCAAGCTAGCTCAAGTAGGTTAGCCTATGCACAGTGTTTGGTGTGTAGACATACACTTATTCTCGGAGGCAATTTTACCAATCAGACTTCTTGACACACTTCTTGAAAAAAAAAATCCCATTCAGAAAAAGGTTCTAATCATGCAATGACCATGAATGTTCTGAATGTGACCATATGTTGGAGCAGCTCCTTCAACTTTACTAATGGCTTTATAGTTTGCTTCAAGCTATTAGTAATTTTAAAATAACATCTAAAGTGAAATAGGTACTTAATCTAGTTATTTATTATAAGGTGTGATTTCCATTGTGAACTGCTCAAACCCATCACTGAAACTATTAGTTTCCTTGGCTTTATCTCCTCTTGTCTGTTTTGATACCTCAAACAGGGGTGTACAAATAGAAGATGCTCTCATGCTTTCTCACTGTGAAAGTTACCTAAATGTCATTTCTAACAAACACTATTTCTTTTATCTCTAGCTGCTGTGGTGTGTGTCACACTTCTGAATCGACTTGAAGGGGATCAGATTAGCAGCTCACATGATGTGCTTGTGGAGTATCAGCAGAGACCGCAGAAATTAGTGGGACACTTCATTAAGAAGTGCCTTGGGAAAGTGTGATGTACCCACCGCTTTGCAGATTATTAGCAGAAGGCTAGTATTTCTTCTGACTTGAAATAATGCTCATAACTATAAATGCCTAGAAAAGCTCTTTTTTACCTCAGGATAGCTTACACCAACCAAAATGCACTAAAGCTAATCATTAGTAGCTGTATGTTTCAGTAGCAGAACATGCTGAATAATCTTAAATGAAGATTTACCTCATTTGTGTTATATCAGAGGACATATGATTTTACACTTTTCTGTATACAGTAACTCCTCGCTTAATGTTGTAGTTATGTTCCTGAAAAATGCTACTTTAAGTGAAACTATGTTAAGCAAATCCAATTTCCCCATAAGAATTAATGTAAATAGGCGGGTTAGGTTCCAGGGAAATTTTTTTCGCCAGACAAAAGACATATACAAACACACATTATATATATATAAAATTTGTGTGTGTATATATGTCTTTTGTCTGGCGAAAAAAATATATATACACACACAGTAAGTTTTAAACAAACAAACAATTTAATAATGTACACAGCAGTGATGATTGTGAAGCTTGGTGGAGTCACAGGGTGGAAGAGGGAGGGATATTTCCCAGGGAATGCCTCACTGCTAAATGATGAACTAGCACTTGGCTGAGCCCTCAAGGGTTAACTCGTTGTTAATGTACACTCACTCTACAAGGCAGCAGGAATGGAGAGAGGAGACACAGCATGACAGAGAGAGACAGAGATACAGTGTGTGTGTGTGTGTGTGTGAGAGACACACACCATGTGTGTGAGCGAGACAGTTGCGCATTGCCCCCTTAAGTACGCTGACCCCACTTTAAGTACACTGCCTTTTAAAGTAGATCAGCAAGTTGAGACAGCAGCTGCTGCCAGCAAACTCCTCAGTCCCAAACCCTGTGGTATCCCCCCACTCTGTGGAAATGGGGTATAGGAGCAGGGGGAGGGGGACACCCAGACATTAGCACTTCGCTTACTCCCCATGCACAGCAATCAAACTGCCGGCAATTGATAGCCTGCTGAGCGGCTGCCGCACAGGGAACTTAGCGGAGCTGATAGGGGAACTGCCGGTCTACTCTGGTTCCAAGCCCCCACCAACTAGCTCCAATGGGCCACTCTTTCTGCGAGCAGTGGACAAAGCAGGCGGCTGCCAAAAAACGTTAGAAGGGAGCATTGCGCAACTTTAAACAAGCATGTTCTCTAATTGATCAGCAATGTAACAACAAAACAACATTAACCGGAATGACGTTAAGTGAGGAGTTATTGTATTAGAAATTAGCCCTAATGTGCAGGATTATACTATAGTAATATATAAAAAAAGCTTTATTTATTCATTCTAGCAAGAAGAACATGTTAAGTATTTGCAAAGCCAAACATTAAAACTAGCTTCAAAAGAAGAGCTAAATTCGTTACATCAAAATGCCATGTAAATAGTTATCACTGCCTTTTATATTCTCATTTCACACAAGTGATCTGGCAAAAACAAGATGTACTGTAAATCCTTGTGTGTTTCATATTTAGTAATCTTTGAATAAACTGCATTATTCTCATCTCAGTAAAAAAAAAAAACATGAAATGACAAAGTCTGGGACTGAATTTCCACACCATTCCTCAGCTTCCAAGCCATGATTCAGCAAGGCCATTTGTACTTAACTTTGTGCTTAATACACCTCTACCCCGATAGAATGCTGTCCTCGGGAGCCAAAAAAAAAAAAAATCTTATCGCGTTATAGATGAAACCGTACTATATCGAACTTGCTTTGATCCGCTGGAGTGCGAAGTACCGCCCCCCCGGAGCGCTGCTTTACCGCAATATATCCGAATTCGTGTTATATCGGGGTAGAGGTGTATGTGCTTAACTCCATACGTATTGAGCTAAGCACTTAAGCATGTTTTTAAGTCCCATAGCTTAAATTAATCTTGCGCTTAAGTGTTTTGATTAATCAAAGGACTTCAGTGAGAATTGAAGGCACTCACAGAAGACATACACTCCTATCACATATCACAGGAGATATACTCAGGATTGGGGACAGGTAACAGGTTTTCTCTCTCCTGATTATTTAACAGTCATCAGCTTTCTTCTTATCTTACCTTCACCTCCACACCTCAGGGGATGGCAGTCACTCCTGCAATCATTCATGGTTCTTTTGGAGAATTCTGGAATGCCTTCAGCTATTGAAACACATTTGACATCTCCAAAGAGCATCTCTGCATTCCTCCTGTAATCAGACACAGACTCACCCGTGCGGCACCTCCTGCTGGTCGTCTCAGGAATTAGCTCACCAGCCGTCAGAGAGCCCTCTGTAGGCCAGGTGTGCCGCCTGTCATTGGCCCCCATGTCCCTCCTGGACCCCAGTGCACTTGGCTTGGGTGCTGCCCCCCGGCAGTACCCCACTTTCTCTCTGGGTCTCCCCACCCAGGGGAACCCCCACCCTCTATCCCCACATTGCCTCAGTCATGGCTAATGCCAGCCACCATCTAGCCCCCGTGCCCTGGGGCAGACTGCAGTCTATCAGCCAAACATTACAGGCAACTAGGGGTTTGGACTGCTGCCTTTATCCACCCTCAGGCTGCCCCTCTGCAATCCCAATACCCCTGTGGGCCTAGGACCAGGCCCTGCAGTCTGGGGAGTTGCTGGCCTAGGGCTTCCCTGCCCCCAAGGCCTTTCCCCAGCACTGCCTCAGGTGAGGGCCCCAGCAGCCAGGCCTGTCTCTCTCTCCAATCAGAGTGAGACTCCTCAACTTCTGGCTGCCTTGGCCTTCTTATAAGGCCGAGTTGCTCTGTTTGGGGCGTGGCCCCAGCTGCAGCTACTTCGCCAATCAGCCGGAGTTTTGCTCCTTTCCCTAGCCCTCTTCAGGGCTGGAGTGGGTGTTCACCTCGCTACACCTTCATTACCATCACCCTGGGTCTCATAGTGGCTCTTGTTAAAATTGCTCTCTTTACAACTATGGACTCTGGATAACGCTAGGAAAAATGGTCTCTCCTGCAATGGATTTTGCAAATGGGACAGGAGTAATACTTGAGAATGGAGAAAAGTAAATAGTGGTTTCCCCTAAGGGTCTGGGCCCAGTCCTATTCAACATATTCATAAATGATCTGGGAAAGGGGGTAAACAGTGAGGTGGCAACATTTGCAGATGATACAAAACTAGTCAAGATAGTTAAGTCCAAAGCTGACTATGAAGAGTTACAAAGGGATCTCACAAAACTGGGTGACTGGGCAACAAAATGGCAGATGAAAGTCAGTGTTGATAAATGCAAAGTAATGCACATTGGAAAACATAATCCCAACTATACATATAAAATGGTGGGTTCTAAATTAGCTGTTACCACTCTAGAAGTCATTGTGGATAGTTCTCTGAAAACATCCACTCAATGTGCAGCGGCAGTCAAAAAAGCGAACAGAATGTTGGAATCATTAGGAAAGGGATAGATAATACAACAGAAAATATCATATTGCCTCTATATAAATCCATGGTATGCCCACATCTTGAATACTGTGTGCAGATCTGGTCACCCCATCTCAAAAAAGATATATTGGAATTGGAAAAGGTACAGAAAAAGGCAACAAAAATGATTAGTGGTATGGAACGGCTTCAGTATGAGGAGAGATTAATAAGACTGGGACTTTTCATCTGGGAAAAGAGATGACTAAGAGGGGATATGATAGAGGTCTATAAAATCATGACTGGTGTGGAGAAAGTAAATAAGGAAGTGTTTATTTACACCTCACAACACAAGAACTACGGATCACCAAATGAAATTAATAGGCAGCATGTTTAACATAAACAAAAGGAAGTATTTCTTCACACAACACACAGTCAACCTGTGGAACTCTTTTCCAGAGGATGTTGTGAAGGCCAAGACTATAACAGGGTTCAAAAAAGAACTAGATAAGTTCATGGAGGATAGGTCCATCAATGGCAGGGATGGTGTCTCTCACCTCTGTTTTCCAGAAGCTGGGAATGGATGACGGGATGGATCACATGATGATTGCCTGTTCTGTTCATTCCCTCTGAAGCACCTGGCATTGGCCACTATTGTAAAATAGGATACTGGGCTAGATAGACCTTTGGTCTGACCCACTATGGCCATTCTTATGTTCTTGAGGAGACATGGAGAAACCAACCCAAGTATATGGCACTAATCCAGCCTGGACAAGTTTTCTTTCTGTGAACTCTAGCCAATCATCACTCAAGTGACATAGAGCTACATTATATATCCAGTAAGGAGTGATGTAACCATTTTGTATATATAGTCCTCCCAAAATATGGGAAAACTCAAAAAGCAGGTTTAAACAAACAAACAAACAAAAAAGAGTCAGCAACAAAAATGCTAAGGAATAATTCCACTAGATGGCAGCTGTAGTAGGGTCTTACTCCCTAAAACACACCATGCACTGGATAGGATTCCCATTGGACCTGTTTTACAACAGGGAAGCATGTAATAAAGGATGTCTTCCGTCTACACCCACTCTCTCCGGGCAGCACTGAAGAGATGAAAAGGAGAAAATGTGAGAAAGAACAGCCTGCACATCATACTGGAAAGAAGCCTGCAGATAGTTGGGCTAGGCACAGTATGGACTTCCAGGAGATTGGGGGAGGGAAGCTGTCAATTTTCTGAGGAACAGGGGAAGCTCATTGTGAATTTTCTGTAGTGGGGTAGGGAAAGGGGAAGTACAGATTAATAGATTCTAAGGCCACAAGGGACCATTGCGATCAGGTAGTGTGACCTCCTGCAGAACACAGGCCATAGAAGGCCCCTCCCCCAAATATTTCCTAGAGCAGATCTATTAGGAAATCACCCAATCATGATTTAAAAATTGTCAGTGATGAAGACTCCACCACAACCCTTGGTAAATTGTTCCAGTGGTTAATTACTCTCACTGTTAAAAATGTAGGCCTCATTTACAGTCTGAATTTGTCTATCTTCAGCTTCCGGCTATTGGATCATGTTATACCTATAAATTGAAGAGCCCTCCCTGTCGGTATTTATAGATTGCAATCAAGTCACCCCTTCACCTTCTCTTTGTTAAGCTTAATAGTTTGAGATCCTTGAATCTATCACTATAAGGCATGTTTTCTAAT